TGTTTTTCGACAACATGGAGAGAAAAAAAAAAGGTCATTTCCAGACGAAGCATTCACTTAGGGTTTGTGATGCAGCTGCAGTAAGATCTAGTACCGCTTCATCTTTTAACAAATGTTTCTTTGTGAACTCTTCATGACACTGTCCCTCGTTTACAATACAAAGCAAAGCGAATGTTCTTTCACTCTATTTGTCCTATTGACAGACTCAAGCGCATGGACTGTGTCAGAAAGCGAACGAGCGTAGCGCGATGATTAGTGACGAACACGGAAGTGCGACGGAGAGAGAACAAAACAAAATGCCAGTCACAAATTAGAAGTACAAAACGAGGATTTGTAAAGAAGAATGTAGGAGGATTTCGATATAAGTCAAGAGGAGACTGGTTTTCCTTTGGTAAAGTAAGGAAATTTTGCTTCCTTTGCTACTGTAAACAAACTCGCGAGACTAGCGTATCTCACAGGTGCGTGCCCGACGCATACGTCCTACATCATCCGCACGGAACCTGCCAGGCGGTTCATAAGGTAAGACTTCCCCGTACGGTAGAGTCCCACCACAGATACCACCACCACCGGCTCATTGATCTCATCCAGAATGTCTTTGGCCTCTTTTCTCACACGCAGCTTCCCTTTTTCATCGTTTTCAATAAAACACACTGGAGCAGACATGAGCCCGCCACACGCCATGACTCTGCAAAAGAAAACAACAACAAAGGCAATAGCCAGTAATTTCATAATTACACACAGAAACAAAAACATATATAAAATAAAAATTAAACAAATTTGAATACATAACTGAAAGGCACATGTAGAAAAAGAAGCTGTTTATAGCCTACCGTTAGCAAAGCGATTGAACAGACGAAAGCATACACCGTTCTTAAATTCAGAACCGCACAAACCCGATCTTCCGAGGCTCCTTCCGTCTTAAATGTGTGTCTTTGTTCATAAGTAATTTGCCAGACACGCACTCTCACGGATGCTGCCGCGAGTGAAAGTGAAAGTATGCCGGTTCAATTCGCTGAGACAACGGCTGCAGCCAGACAGCGGCTTCCCAGAAATCACCCGTTTAACATAAACAGCTAAACATAGACTCTGGGTTCGGGTGACTAGACGTCCCTGTTTTCCGGGAGTGGTGTGCTGTCCCCGTTTTACAGCACGTTAAAAACAACACGCAAATAAAAGTCAAACCCGAGCAGCCAGCTGGCAATCGTATGATTGTGATTATTTTAACCAACAGAGGACGCTGCGAGCTATACTTGTTGGTCACGCGCAGAAAGTGCATACATTGTGGTCAAAATGAGCCTAAAATACAAAATAAGCAAGATTAAAGAATAGAAAAGATTAATTTCCAAAAGCATAAACATAAAATGTGAAAAGTTGTAATTACTTTACTCAGTTTGTTAAATGTTAGTTTGAAAAATATTAATCATAGGGCCTATTTGAAAAATACAGTTTTATTTTAATATTTTCATATTTTCTCATATTTATTGTTTTACTTTTAATGTGTTTTTGTAAAGCTTTTATGTATTATGTATTATAATTTTGTTATAATAGGCCTACTGTTGTAAGGGTAAATAGCTAGCCTATATATCAGCAGTGAGTTGAAGTCGGTGTTCCTGTTCTAAAATTTGATTTACGTAATTCAATGAGTTCATTGTGTTTTCTGTTTGGCTGAATTTCAAGTGGAACCTGTGTTCCTTTTATAAAACTTAATTTAGGCTACTTCAGAGGTACCTGTGGTGATTAAAGACAACTGTTCACGAGCTCTTTGCATCCTTCCGTCATATCCTAAGGCGGTGGAGCTAAGACGCGAGGAAAGGAAACCATGCACAAACAAGAACCCCTTTTCATGTTTCTGTCCGTCAATGGGAGGAATGGGAGGCCCTGTTTTTGAGCTCCCACCCCGTTTTGGAGTTCCCAGACTTCCCACACCCATTTAGAGATCTTCCCATGTAGATATAACTGCAGACCGGAGATCTCCAAAATGGGGCGTGAACTCCAAAAGTGGGCAGAACCTCCAAAATGGGGCGGGGTCTCCTCGCGCAAAGGCTTTCACCATTGGCTGGGTGTAACTAAAAAGGTGGCATTGTCAGGTGTGGTCCGGTTGGGGAGTTACGGAACGATCTCATATCGCATAATCTTATTAACTGTTTATCTCCTGAACTGCATCTTTCTTTACCAAGCTATTTAGCGCCAATCCCGCCATGCAGTCAATTTCACTGGTTAAGGTTAGGGTCAGGTGTGGGGTAGGTTTAGGGGTTAGCATTTTTGTAGCATAGTGTAGGAAATCAACACTTTAATTGACACAACCAATAAAAACTTTAGAATCAGCTGTGGGGCGGAGTTTGCACTGAAGCGGATTGGGGGAAAAATTGCGCATCCGTGTCATGTGCCTGTCTGTCAATGGGAGGAAGCCACGCCCTATTTTGGAGCTCCCACCCCGTTTTGGAGTTCCCGCCCCCATTTGGACATCTCCAGGCTGCAGTTATACCCTTCTCGATCTTTAGGCTGCAGTTAGCTTCTCTTCTCCAATTATTATATTAATTATTTTAGCACTAACTTGCTAAATCATAAAGGCTCACTAAAGAAAAATAAAAAAACTTCTCTTTATCTTTCTCTCAACGGCTCTTTCATCAAACTGACATAGGTGATAAACTCACGTGCCATCCAATTTCAGAAAAAGAAAGTGAACTCGAAACCGAGAGCTCACGATCCTATCATCTGCTGCGACAGTAGGCCACACACACACACACACACACACACACACACACACACACAAACAAAACAGCATATGTAAACATTTTAACAAACGTTAAATGTAGTATAATTCACAAACTACCCCATTTGTTAATAAAAGAGTTCGTCAAAATCCATATTTAAATTAAATTAATATACGACCACCAACTCAATCACCTCAAATTCATATGGATGAGGACGACTAGACCTCCGATCTTTATTCTGCAATAGCTCACCTTGTTCACGAAGTCAATTCTGCAGCATCATGATTTCCCGGAAATCCCCTCATATTCTGGGAGTGGGCTTCTGAGACGGCGCTGACCACCTCTTGTATTTATACACGAGCTTCAGTCAGAACCATCCACGACAGAAGAAAAGCAGAGGTAAGATCTATTTTTCTCCTCTTTAAATGACTTAAGCAGACGTTAGAAATAAAATCTCTTAAAATACATAATCATAGGCCTACAGTCTAATGTAGTAATTCAAATGTTTGTAATCGCCTTCCATATTTCAAGATTGCTTTTCATATTTAAGTGAACTCTATGAAATCTACTGATATCATCATATGCATAGATATGAATAAAAAGATAAGCAATAAAAAGATATCAAAACAACCATTCTTAGTTTATTATTTTGGATTGTTTGGATCTTGTTTTATTTTATTTGTCCTTTGGTATTTTACTGTCCTTTTGGTATACTTGGTATTTTCAGACCAAATTCTAATGAACACTATATGTAATAATAAAAAGAGCTGTAAATTATACTGTAGCCAGGGGGCAGCACAGCACTGCTTAAACAGCTACTCCACATATTCTCCAGTTATTCCACTGCAGAGGAATGAAACTAATGTATAAAGGCTATAATTCAAACTGAAATGCAAATTAATAATGGGAAGGGCTTCCATAACAAAAAAAAAAAGAAGAAGAAGAGTTATGACTGTGGAATGAAATTTCTGTCTAAATAGATAAATAAATAATCATTCACATGTTTTATTATTCTACAGAGCCCATGTGCAGGGGGTTTCAGATAACAGACAGAGCTGTTGTTTGTCAGTGTAAACTGAATCTGAAAACTCTTTCACGTTCGACTCCTCCATTAGAGATCGGCCAGTGACAGTGCATTTTTTTCAATCAATATCATACATAGAGCAGAGGATAAGAAACTTATAGGCAGAAGATGTGTTAAGCTGTTTCTCTTTAATTGTATGTAGATGCAGTGGTTTACACAGGCCTGAAGATTTGCAATATTTCTTTAATTACAGCAGCAAACTTAGAGACATTACACACAGACTAAAATACTAGAAATACTACTTGATCAAGAGCTGTAATACCATAATGCAGCCCAACCTAGCTGCAGTTTATCACAGCTATGCTGAAACTCAGACTCATATTGACACTGTGCGTTAAGTCTGTTTGATTTTGTGTGTATGGTTTTTACTTAGGATCATGTCTTGTAGTAAGTACATGCCAGCTCCAGTGTGTCTCATTGAAAATGATGAAAATGGGCGGCTGTGTGTGAGAAAAGAGGCCAAAGACATTCTGGATGAGATCAATGAGCCGGTGGTGGTGGTGTCTGTGGTGGGACTCTACCGTACGGGGAAATCTTACCTTATGAACCACCTAGCAGGACAACAGTCCGGTGAGAGAAAATGCTGAAAGTCCTTCTCAAGTGCAGTATATGTTGATATGATAATGAGAACATCTGAAAACAGTAACTACATAATAATAATGTTATTGTCTCAGGCTTTGCTCTGGGCAGCACTATTGAATCAAAGACTAAAGGCATCTGGATGTGGTGTGTCCCTCACCCTAATAAAGAAGGACACACTCTTGTGCTTCTGGACACAGAAGGACTTGGGGACGTGGCAAAGGTGAGCACAGTCACTAACTACTATTAATCATTTCCCAGTCTCAGTTTGCCATTAGTACCTCAGAAGGAACAGTATTAAGTTGTATTGTGTTCTGAATGAATACTTTGATCATCCTGTTAAACCGCTGTATGGTCTTGGCCACCGTGCTGCAGCTCAGTTTCAGGGTCTTGGCAATCTTCTTATAGCCTACACCATCTTTATGTAGAGCAACAATTCTTTTTTTCAGATCCTCAGAGAGTTCTTTGCCATGAGGTGCCATGTTGAACTTCCAGTGACCAGTATGAGAGAGTGAGAGCGATAACATCAAATTTAACACACCTGCTCCCCATTCACACCTGAGACCTTGTAACACTAATGAGTCACATGACACCGGGGAGAGAAAATGGCTAATTGGGCCCAATTTGGACATTTTCACTTAGGGGTGTACTCACTTTTGTGGCCAGCGGTTTAGACATTAATGGCTGTGTGTTGAGTTATTTTGAGGGAACAGCAAATTTTCACTGTTATACAAGCTGTACTCTCACTACTTTACATTGTAGCAAAGTGTCATTTCTTCAGTGTTGTCACATGAAAAGATATAATAAAATATTTACAAAAATGTGAGGGGTGTACTCACTTCCGTGAGATACTGTATATATATATATATATACACTTTACAAGATGTTGTTATTCCTTAATGTGCTGCAGCTACGTTGTTGAGCTCGCTGAGCATATCAAGATCAGATCGACAGAAGCAGCAGATGATGAGGAGGAAGAAGAAGATTCTGAGTTTGTGCGGTTTTTCCCATCATTCATCTGGGTCGTGAGAGATTTCACCTTGGATTTGGAAATTGATGGGAAGAAAGTGACAGATGACGATTACCTTGAATTTGCCCTTAATCTGAGGAAAGGTATTAAAGACAGAATTACATTTACACATTTGGCAGTAGCTGTTTTCCAAAGCAGCTATACAGTATAAGTTTTAGTTACAGTATAAGCATATTAATTCTTGGTTACCCTGGGAATTAAACCCATGATATTGGCATTGGTAGCACCATTCTCTATTTGAGCTACAGGAAGGTTAAAAGAATGATTTGCCCACCTACTGGATTCATTTCTATTCTGGAGTAGAATTTGAATTTTAAAACATTGTAAAAATAAACACGAATAGGCTCACTGGCCCATGATATCCGTTCTGTGAGGTCTTTAAAATAACTACTGATGCCTGCAATCTAGACTACATACTAAACTGGTATGATTGCTATTTCATTACTGGACCACATATTTGTCTGCACTCACAGCCTATTTGAATATTCGTGTTTGTATTTCTGTAAATGAACAATGCCTGAAAAATGCAAATGAAGTATGTTGACTGACTCAGTGCCACTGATTTGGTGAATATTTCTTTCTCTTTCCTGAATAATCTCTTTTTAGGTGTGAGTAAGAAAATTAGAGACTACAATCTGCCTGGTGAATGTATCAAGCGTTATTTCCCTAGCCGGAAGTGTTTTGTGTTCCCGTTTCCCGCTAACTCGCACCAAGACATGACACGCCTGGAGATCTTACAAGACCAGGACCTTGCACAACAATTTCTGGAGGTCACGGGACATTTCTGTGACTACATGTTTGTCAACAGTGATGTGAAAAGACTGAAAGGAGGACACATAGTTACTGGCCGATGTGAGTGTTTTACCAAATGAAAAGTTTCGTTCATTTGAATCTTTAACACATTTCAGATTCACAATAAGTTTTGCATGAGCAAACAAATAAACTAATTAAACATTTATTTAGTAAAACTCTTCATCTGTGGTTTGAAGATACCGTGGAGCATTTACTGTACTCTTAACTGTTTGTGTGTGTTGTCAGTGCTCGGGCCTCTGGTTGAGATTTATGTAGACACAATCAGCAGTGGTGAAGTGCCCTGTCTAGACAATGCAGTGGTTGTTCTGGCAAATCTAGAAAACCAGACAGCTGTTCAAGAAGCTCTGAAAGTATATCAGGGAGGGATGGAAGAGGTGAGGCACATTCTGACTGAGTTCAGTTGTTTTTTATGTGGTCATGTTCTCTGTATATCTCTTTAATAATCCCATCCCAAGTCAGAACACCAAACTTTGTATACAGCTGCATTTTGAATAAGTCTCCAAATTCAGAACCACCAATGTTGGCTTGAACATCTTCAGTGAATGCACAAACACCCTTTAAGTAAACGCACACTATGTTTTTACAGTTGAAGAAGACATTACCAATCAGTATAGAAAAGCTGACCTGTGAGCACCAGAAATTCAGCAGTCTGGCCATTGCTAAATTCACGAAACGCTCATTTAAAGATGAAAAAAATGAATACTTGAAGACACTGGAGGTGAGTTATAAATTGACAAGAGCGACTAATACTTGTGCACTCATGTATGCATCATAGCCTTTATGTATCTAAGATTAATGACATTGACATTAATGCGAAGGGAATACTAGCTTTCTGCAAGTATTATAAGGTTGGAGATTGTTAATGTGTTGATATTTGGTGACCTCATAAATTACATCCATCAGATTAATACAACTAATTCACACAACAATGCATACAAACACAGTGCCCAATACATTCTGTCTTTGTTCAAGTGTATTTATGCATGTTTGAGATATTATTTCTGCTTTTATGTGTTTATAGGAAGCTGTATCTATGTGCTATACAGACTTGTTGGAAGAGAATAAGATGGCATCAGAGAGAAAGTGCAGAGATCTACTGAAGAATCTGTCCTCTGACATGAGTAAACGGCTGCAGGATGGAGAGTACAGTCAGTCTGGAGGATATGAACTCTACTGCAGAGACAGAGACGCCATTGTTGAGCAGTACCGCAGAGAACCCAATAAAGGAATAAGGGTAAGGACATTTTAGTGTCTATTTGTGACACTGGATCATAAAACTGAAATTGAGATTTATACATTATCTGAAAGCTGAATAAATAAGCTTTACATTGATGTATTGTTTATTAGGATAGTAACAATATTTGGCCGAGATACAACTATTTTAATATCTGGAATCTGAGGGTTCAAAAAATCAAAATATTGAGAACATCGCCTTTAAAGTTGTCCAAATGAAGTTCTTAGCAATGCATATTACTAATCAGAAATTAAGTTTTGATATATTTACAGAAATTAGGAAATTTCCAAAATATCTTCATGGAACATGATCTTTACTTAATATCCTAATCATTTTTGGCATAAAAGAAATTTCGATAATTTTGACCCATGCAATGTACTGTTGGCTATTGCTACAAATATACCCGTGCTACTTATGACTGGTTTTGTCGTCCAGGCTCACATTTGTCAGTGTATGTGACTCAAGTACATTTACCCCGTAATTAATTGTGTTCATGATCCAGTTCAGCATGACTTGATTTTAGAACCACTATGGCGTTATTTTAATGACAAATATCGAGAGCGCATTATTGTAGCGCGAAAGCACATTAATACAATGCGCGAGCGCGAATCTCTCTGCTCTCGCGCGGATTTCCCTTGCTCTCGCACAAAACCGGACGCTCACGCTCAGATACACGCTGCTCTCGCCCACGCCGGTCTAAGATATGTTTGTGTGCAGGCTGAGGCTGTGCTGGAAGAGTTTCTGAAAGAACGGGAACCTGAAGCAAACAGCATCCTCTGCATGGATAATAAACTAACTGAAAATGAGAAACAAATGAATAGTAAGTTTATACTAGGCTTTTTGAAGCACAGAATGTAGGCACCTTAAACACTTAAATCTGAATTGCTTAGGGTTGCGGTTATTTTATCATTGTCATTTCATATTCTTTCTGTCTTGACTGAATGTTCAGAAGAGAAAGAGAATGCAGCTCTGCTGAAACAGAAGTTGAAAGAAGAGGAGGAGAAACGAATTGAGAGCGAAAAAATGATGGAGACAGAGAAAGTGCGGCATGAGGACAGGGTAAAACAAATGCAGGAGAGCTTCAACAAGGAGAAGGAGCAGCAGCAGCAGGAGATGGACAGAGCCATTGAGAGCAAACTGAAGGAGCGGGAGGAGATGCTAAAGAAAGGCTTCAAGGACGAAGCTTATAACCTCAAGGAAGAAATAAAGAAGTTAAAAGATGAAAAGGAACGCTCACATGGTGGTGGCGGCATATTTAAGGACTATGTGATGCCATTTCTTTGCCCTCTTGTAGAAACAGTTCCCAACCTCCTCATGCAGAGATCGATGATGAAAAGCCTGAAAAAGGGACTGAAATGTTAAAACCTGATACAAAACGATCCTTGATTCATATTTTCCATTCACTGACATATCTCCATTGAGTCTGATTTTATAGCATTTAAATACTTAAAGCATGCGCTTTATAGAGCAGGTAGTAAATGAGCTGAGAATCCTGAACATATATTATGCGCCCTTGAAAGTGCACAATGTAATTTCTACACCGTCAGCAGCACCCATAGAATTTGCTAAATAGCAAGTGTGTGTTTTCCAGTGAAAAGTCCATATTTTGGATAAAAAGTAGTCCCAGCTCAAACATTTTTTTTATGTTGATGCAAAAAGGAAGTGTTATGGAAAGACGGAAAAACGTGATTTTTTAAAAATTAATTTATTAGTTCCTGTTTTAGCTTTAAAAATGTACTTGAGTTGCAATAAGGAAATTATGTAATAGGCTGCACATTGTCAAGAAAGGGCCAAGGGGTTACGTCACAGCAAGCTGAGACGTGCTGACAATATGAAGACAAGAATGCTCAGCCCAAAGATCACGTTCATTCTGAATGCAGTCTATATGTGATCAGTCTAGACTTACGAAAATGCTTAGCACAGTAGAACTCACAGTCATATGACTAGATTAGATCATCGTGACAATCATCAGATCAGTGTAACATGTCAGTGAAGAAAACTTGTGTAACACTTAATGCATTTTCATCTCAATGTAATTTGGTCCACAAAACATACAGCATATATTGCAGCATATACTGTAACATTCCAATATTCTACAATAAAATTGTCTTTCCTCTGAGCACCTCTGATCTGGTTTTTTTTTCTGTGCAATGGTTTGCGGCAATTATATAAATAAAATTGTATATAATTAAGATAAAACTACTTTGGGGTAAGATGCAATAAATGTAATACTTGCTGTAATTAATGGGGTTATTATTTAATATTTCCATTAATTAAAATGTATATTACAGACATTTTCACTTTCATTAAACCTATAGGTTAATCATTAAATTTGCATTCATAGTGTGGCTATAATAACAACATATCTTCAATTAAAATAAGGGAAACTGAATATGTAAATATTTATATGCCTGCTTATAAGATTAATCTCCTTTACTGGGATTCCGCTTTGTCATCAGTTATTCAATTATTAAACTAAATAATCAAAATAAAATTTTAGATAGAATAGTTGATTTAGTAATTTACATGAATGACCGTTTTAAAAATATATAAATATTAATAAGAATTATATCAACAGTTATTCATAAAAGTTCATCCAGGGGGCTTCTTACCCCAGGTTGGTGGCAGTGTTGAGAAGGTTACTTTGTAAATGTAATAGGTTACTGATTACAAGTTACCCTATTTAAAATGTAATAAGTGTACTTTATTAAAGTAATTAAACTAATTTGTGACCCTGGACCACAAAACCAGTCTTAAGTCGCATGGGTATATTTTTATCAATAGCCAAAAATGCATTGTATGGGTCAAAATTATAGATTTTTCTTTTATGCCAAAAATCATTAGGATATTAAGTAAAGATCATGATCCATGAAGATATTTTGTAAATTTCCTCCCGTAAATATATCAAAACTTAATTTTTATTAGTAATGTGCATTGCTAAGGACTTAATTCTGACAACTTTAAAGGCGATTTTCTCAATATTTTGATTTTTTGCACCCTCAGATTCCACATATTCAAATAGTTGTATCTTGACCAAATATTATTACCATCCTAACAAACCATACATCAATGGAAGGCTTATTTATTCAGCTTTCAGATGATGTATAAATCTCAATTTTGAAAAATTGAGATTTAAGACTGGTTTTGTGGTCCAGGGTCACATTTGATTACTTTTCTCAATTTCTCACAAATGTTTTCAACTGTTTTAAATCATTTTAAAACATTTAAAGCAGGCAGGGTTTAACCTTACAGGAACTCACCACTGATTACTATCAGACTTTCAAAATCCTTCATCCCTTGAATTAAGATTATAAAAATTAGATTTTAAAGCACAGACACCACAGAATCAGACTTAAGCACAGCTTTTTACATTGAGATCGTTCTGAGGTTAAATACTGATTTAAAATCATAAGATATAGTTTAAAAGCTATACTATTTTTGAAATCAAATCTTTGCATAGCTATGACAAGAAACACTGACATCTAACAATGCCTTGGAATAAACAGTTGATCTTAAAATATAAATATAAAGCATATACATAAACCCAAATAGGAAATAAAAGCGTTATTGAATTAGCATGTGTACTATTCTGTGTCCTAAACTCCTGAAACTTTGGTGTCTCATATTTTAGAGCAGTCAATGCAATTTGGGAAAGAAATCAATTAAATCTGTGTGTGCTTGTGTGAAAATATTCAGATGTAATCCTCTTTGTAATAGTTGTTTTCATAAGTAACTGTAATTTAATTACACTTATTATGATTACAGATTACTGATTACAGTTACATTTATTTTGGAATTAAATTACGTAATTCCATTAGGCTACATGTAACAAGTTACTCCCCAACACTGGTTGGGGGCCAGTTTAACCCAATAGGGGTCTACCTCTCTTTCAATATTTTCAATTTCGCGCTATAACAGCTAAATTAGCAGATGTTTCTATTTATTTCCTATATATATATATATATATATATATAACACAATGGCTGATGCATTATCAACGTGCACATGCTAAGTTTAAAAGTAGCCTAATCCACATTGATCCTATGGGGAGTAGGCTATCTTCCCTCATATACAGGTGCATCTCAATAAATTAGAATGGAATTTATTTAATACACGAGTTTCACAATTTGAGTTGAATTACTGAAATAAATGAACTTTTCCACGACATTCTAATTTATTGAGATGCACCTGCTGTATGCAGATACAAGTACACAGACGGCCATGCAGATGGACGGACACATATTTCTTTTTACATGCGCTCTGTCGTTATGCAAACAGAAAAAGGGAAGGGCAAACATGACCAATGACAATCACCTCTCACTCCCAGGAAAACGAAACTCAAGTAAGCGGCGACGGTAATACTAGCCTACATACAGGAAGATGAAGTTGGTTTTGCGTTGTGTGCACTTGATGGAGATGGTTTCGAGTGCAGGTGAGCTCACGTTTCTCTACTCAAAAATGTAAAGGTAGGTTAAAAATGAATTAAGCAGTTTTATTTTGTGGAAAAGATGGGTACTGGTCCGTTTTAGGCGTGCCGCTTCTACGTCAGGCGTCTAATTATAGCTCGCGTTGTTCTTATTTTCTATTTATCTTGGTTTATAATAATGGGAATTTTCATTATTGGTGCAACATTGTCGTTTCTTTGCATCAGTCATTGGGTGCGACGCTTTAACAGGAAGTGTAGTCTATAATTTACAGCATTCACAATAAGAAATGAGAAACTCTTGTTGCTATTTTGTCGTAACGGTCGTACAAACATTACGAGCGTTAAGATAAACATAAAATAAACATGTTCATTCAAATATTTCAATTGAAAATTTAACAATGATGAAGGAAACGGAGAAGCGCCAAAACGTCCCAAAATTTAAGGGATGCGTAAATCCAACCGAAAGTCACAAACTAGAAAAGGGAACCACAACGAGTAGGACAAAGGCTCTCCAACTGTTCGGTTATTATTATAGAGGCTACATAAAAGTCGTGCAAAAAGGTGCTATAACGTGCAAAGCGCAGGGTTCAAATTCTAAATTTCACTGCACATTTTCTTTGTAAACCTTTCCTTTCCTTGGTAAACACACTCAGGAAATAATGAATGACTGTTCACCTATAAACACCCTATCTCTCAACGGTAGTGAATGTGTGGAATGTGATGTGTGGAAAGATGTGAATCCATTTTTAGTATCTGAAGTGATACACTTTGTTTAAATGGCACCTGACTGCTCAAAAGTAGTCAAACTGGTAGAATTTCCTGGTGCCAGCACAAAAACTTCTGCATACTTGTGACATGAGGATATATGATGGTAGGTAGTATTAGTGTTGGGCACTAATAAAAAACAGTGTTTACTCTAGGCTGAAGGGATCACCTCATAACAGGGCTGCTCAGCAACAACCTGTGTGCTTTGATATCTGACCCCTGTCTTTGTACCAGAAGATAAATATGCAATGAAATCAATCCTTATTTATATGCAGGTTTTGTGTAATGCATTTGTGCAATATTTACAAAGGCACTTTACATAGTTTTCATTATACACTGATCTAAAATAATCCTTACATGATCTGAAGCCATTTTTATTCAGGCATATTGACATAAAATAATCCTAGCATGACCTACAACTCCATTTATCCACCCTGGCAAATATATACTGCACACTGTCATTCACAGGTTTCAGGTTAAGAGGTTTGTGGTTAAGTGCAGTAATATCTGTCTGAATGCTACCTGACCCAAAACTTGTTCAATGGAGTTAAATTCCCTCGTTTTCATGGTTTTACATGCCATTTAAATCTGGTTGCTAGGTGTTGTGAGCACTTGTCAAACGGAAAAATAAGTCTTTTGTTTTGTCTTCTGTGCATGATAATCTCGACCTTGTATTGAACACCCCCAGCTTTTCTTTCTCACATAACCATAACAACTCTGGCAGATAATTACAGAACGCTTGTCTTTCTACAGTTTAACAACTTTGCTTATTATTACCAATTAACTACTTAGAATTAAAGAGAAGTACGACAGGCAAATTATCTGAAATGTTCTATAAATTCTAATCCCTTTTATCAACGAGTTATTTAAAGGGGTCATATGATGCTTTTTTAAAGATCATTAATTTGTGTATTTGGTGTAACAGAATATGTTGACATGCTTTAATGTTCAAAAAACACATTATTTTTAAAATACTGTACATTATTGTAGGTCCTCTATGCCCCGCCTCTCTCAAACGCTTCGTTTTCTACAAAGCCCCTCCTTCCGAAAAGCGCAGTCTGCTCTGATTGGCCAGCTGACCCAGTGCATTGTGATTGGCCGAACACCGCAAGCACTCGTCGGAAATGTAACAGCACTCGTCGGAAATGTAACGCCCCTTACCATAATCGCGAGCTTCATCTTTCAAAATAAATGTAAAGACAGAGCCCAAAAGGGGAACAGAGTCGTGTGACAGACACAGTGATGAAGCTGCAGTACACAAGCCACGGTTAAGACAGCTGACTCCACTGTGATTGATCGATCTCTCTCTCTCTCTCTCTCTCTCTGTCTCACACAGCGCGCACACACACACAAGATGCGCAAAACTCCGCATTGGGATCTTATCTATGCACAATCAGCTTGTAACACTCCAAAGAGAAAGGAAAACTTGAAATCGCATCATATGACCCCTTTAACAAAATATTCAGCTCTTTAAAAGAATTATAAAAATTACCCATAAAATGACAGACAAATAGGGGTTATATTATACAAAAACCTCTTGACAATTACCAGCATAAGAAACAAAATCTGAAATTAAGGATCTCTACCTATTATGAAACATAATTTGTCCTTTATACTTCCCTACAGCTGTTCAAAGGTCTAAATACAGCAATATAGCAGCAGTTTTTCAGTGGGTTTTTTTATGCTCTGTTATAAATTTGAATTATATTTGCATACTCTCTCTCTTATGTGAGCAATACAGGGGTCATCTGATGAGCTGTGTTCTTCTCTTTCCTCACCTTAGGTTGATTCTACAGCAGTATTTGAAGCTGTGAGTGCCAGCTAAAGGCGTTCATGTCAGATTGTATGTGTGTTATGGTTTGAATCTCTAGAAATGTCTATAGTACAGTCTAGAGATGCTCAGCTGCAGGCGTTCATGCAGATGTATG